TAATCATTAATAACGCCGAATAGTTGCACTTGACGAACAACGTATATTCCATCCTAAAATTTTCCCCTCCATTTTTAAATAATGAAATATCGATTAACCCTTTGATTTTTAAATGCGAAATTTTTGTGAATCACACTACTATGCACATTGTTTGAGTTGAATGGCAATAAATATTTTTTTCTCTCTCTCTGTCAACGAGGTATTGTGTTCTCTCCAATTTTTTCCCCTTTGGGTGAGTGGTTCCAAGATGACAAAAATGCATAGTTCCCATAGACGCCCCATTTCCGTTATAATGCCCAATTGTTTAAATTTCCCACACTCCCGTCTGAAAATATGGACTAAATGCGAAATTCTTTAATTGTTGGATTTATTTGCAGGGGCTGCTATGCCACTTTGATTCACATGACAAACAGATGGCTTTTAAATATAATTAGTTTGCACATCTCCTATAAACAAACTTCCATTGATGATGCTGGTTTTGACATAAGAAAGCACATTCCGAGCAAATAATTTTTTTATCTATTTCCTACTACGATTTTCAAAAAAACAGTTTTTTTCCAAATACACGACTGCGTATTAATGAAGTTAAGTTAATATTCACTTCGGAGTCATTGAGTCACTATTCCCTTGGTGTTAATAAAGCCCATACTCAATCGAGTGTGCGCCTGGTTTATTGTCATGGCATGCTCTAAGAGCCACGAAGCAAAAACTAAACATTTAAATATCAATAAACTTCCGTTGATCAGACAAGATACGACATCAACAACGATTTCTTGCATGAATTATGCGTGCGTGTGTGTGAGCGCGCGCATGATATGTTCGCACTAGCCAATCACAACATGATGGTACAGCCAACTTTGAACAAAGAAAGCTTTCCATCTAGACCGATCCACATTATATTAAGCAATAAAATACGTGCTTACATGAAATCAAGCTGTATCTGTCCATTAAATTTTTACTTAATGCCACTTTATTTTTGAGCATTTTATCCATACCATTTGGATTAATATTTAAATAAAAAAGTTTTCCATGGAAATTGTAGCAGAGGTGAATTCTGAGTTTTTGGGTAATGGATCGATGAAGTAAATCCCTTGGACAAAAAAATTCTATTGATAAGTCATGTTTCCACATTTCACTTTCCCAGGTCTGAATGAGACCGTTATGCTCAGGATATGCTTTTCGAATGCCAGAAACGATTATTATTTGAATAGTTAAACCGAATTTCTGTGAATGTTTCGTTGAACCGTCGTTTTTTGCAAGGAATATCACTTAGTATTAAATAGATTTAGATCAATAGAATTACATTATTCCAACTGTAATTAACTATTTATCTTTTACTTGATTTATAAAATTCAGTTCAAAATATTAATCCCTGGGAATGAACTAATCATTTTAGCCAATAATCCACAAAGAACAGTTTTTTTACTAAATTAGAATCTCATATAAGTTTGAAACAAGGTTATAAGGATCGATTTTTATTGATAAGGGTATGGATGACAAAACCAAGAATTACACATTCCACAAATTTAGGGACTGCACACAGTTCTAAACTTATTGCTGCTCACAGTAATAAGAAATCGGCAAATTTTAAAAAGGTATGTTTGAAGATTAATAAAAACATATTGAAAGCAGCGTTAATGTCTAGAAAAAGTCTCCCCTTAATTTGGATTTCGCACTCGTCTTGTACGATTTCCGTTCGAAAATTTAAATTTCGCGGTTATTAAATATTTC